TTTTTTTTTTTTTTTTGTCCTAAAGAAAGGGTTTCGAGGGAATTTGGAAAGCGGGGAGCGAAATTAAAGGAAAAAGTTTAAAAGTTAAGAGGAAGGGAGGAAAAAACTTCTGGAAGAAAAAAGAAATTCGAGAGGGAGCAAGTTTTTTTACATCTAGGGGTTTTTTTTCCAAGAGGAGGAAAAAAAATAATTGAGGGAGGGGAAAAAAAGAATAATAATAATTGCGGAGGGCTTGATCCCGGAGAACAATACTCGCCGGGAAAGTTGCTGCGCGGCGGGGAGGGAGCGGCGGGAGGAAAATGCCGCAGCTGGGCAGCGGCGGCGGGGACGACCTGGGCGCCACGGACGAGATGCTGGCCTTCAAGGACGAGGGCGAGCAGGAGGAGAAGATCCCCGAGAACGCTTTCACCGAGCGCGACCTGGCCGACCTCAAGTCCTCGCTGGTGAACGAGTCCGAGGGCAGCGGCAGCCCGGCCGCCGCCGCCGCCGACCCCGAGGTGGGTGAGCCCGGCCCGGCCCCGCGCCCCCCGCCCGGCCCCGCGCCCCCTCCCCACCGCCCCCGCGCTGCCCCTCTCTCTCTTCCCCATGCAGGCCCTCCGGCGAGTGCAGGATCCGCAGAGAGTTTACCAGGAGAAGCTCCCGGACCACATGGATGATGGTTAGTCACGGCAGTCCCCGCGTGTTTCCGTGTGTCCCCCTCTCCTCATTCCCGGTTCCCGCTGGTCTTCCCCCGTGTACTCTGTCCAGTGCTCGCCCTCCCCGGGGTGGTGATCCCCCCGGTCCCCCAGCCCATCACCCTGTCACCGCCTGAGAGGGAGGGATGTCAGCCTGGCCACCACAGCCTCCCGTGGGAAAGCTGTGTCTGTCAGCACCGAGGCTTCCCAGTGTCCCCAGTTTGGGATCCCACACCCATGGGGTACCTTGGCACCCCTCAACACCTTCTCCAGGGAGTCCAGGACAAAAAGACTCCCACAATATGCCGTAACCTCTTTGGGGACCCCCGACAGGCAGGGAATCACCTGTCGTTAGGCCAATTTTGACAGGGCACGTTGATTTCAGCAGGTATGAAACATCAGGACCCAGGGATGTATAAAGGATCTGCGTATTCTGGCTACCCTTTCCTGATGCTCTCAGATCCGTATCTGCCAAATGGATCTATGTCACCTCTGGTGAGTTTCTCCTCTCCTCGTGGAGAATTTTCATGGCCTCTCTCACTGCTGAAGTATGTTGTGGGTATTGTGCAGGCACCTACATGTGCTTTTTTCCCAACAAATGGGAGCCCGGTTTCTGCAATACCTGGGCGCTGTTCTGTCCGAGCCGAAGGGAGAAGCCGTGGGAAGGGGCAGGGATGCTCGGCAGGAAGCGCCTGCTTGGCTCCGAATTTGCTGGAGGAGCTGCTTTCCCGACCTCCCCATCCTCTAGGTTTGCCTTTACTCTTCCAGCAATCAAACCCTGATGTCTAATGGAAGAATGCCCCTTCGTTTTTCTGGGTCACAGGCTTTGGAAGGAGCAGCTCCTGGTGTTTGTGTTCAGGGATATGTCCCGCAGCTGAAGTTGAGCTCGATGTGTGCTTGTAAAACAGCCAGGTTCTGGTGTGCTGTGGGTTAGGGCTCTGTGGTGGATGATGGCCCAAAAAGTGGGTCTTGTGCTTTTAAAATGGCAATAGAGGTTTGTAGGAAAACGCTTCACGCTGCCAGAGGACTATTCCCGTCTTCTTGCTGTAAAGTTTTTCCCTCTCGGTTTAAATCAGCTTTAGTAATTCTGTGTGTCGTACTATTGCTAAGTTTTGCTACGTGAGTGATTAAACTAAAGGCTTCTCTACACAAGCTGTCTTTTCCCGTCACCACCTCTATCAGAACTTCAGCAAACACTGTCCTGACTTTGCAGCAGTCGGTTGGGGCTGGTGTGGCTCCTGGGGAGCCAGCACTGCTGCGTTTGTTTCTGCTTTATTCTGCATCAGCCGTCGGCAAGGGAGGACAGAACGTAATTTGGTTTATTTCAGGTTTAGTTTTTTAACCTTTAAAGGGGTGAGGTTTAAAAGGATCTATAAAACCGTCCTTAATTCCAGGCATTTGTTCACAAGAGGGGGAGGGTGTTAAACTGGTGTTATGAAAAACTGGTGGACTGTGGGGTATGGAACTCAATATTTTATTTGTGGGAATCAGTGCCGTACCCTCACACCCGACCCAGCTGGCCTGGGCAGCCGGAGACGGGTTCCTGCGAGACCTTCCTGCACCCAGCTCAGTTCTTCCCAGGGAATCAGTTTCCCTGGCTGCAGACTGCTGTGACTTTGCCAAAGTTTGCAAATACTGAGGCTCTGTCCCTAAATATTGAAGTCTTCCTTCAGTTTACAACAGGAAAAGATGTGTTTG